TCAAGTTCCCACCTAACAGTAACGACTAAGGATGCAAGTACTGTACCCCTGATTCTAAGAATGTATGTCAAATTTACTTTCAGTACAAAGAACACCATCTTGAAGTTTTACAATGCAACCAATCATGATGTACAAAAAGTACTGAAATCAAATGGTAATTCATTATTTCTCTCAAAATGAAGATATTATTGCATTCATTTTGAACACCAACAAAAGTTTAAGCCTTATTCTACTTACAATATTAAAATTCTTATAAAAACATAATCTCGAAGCCTTTGAAAAAACTAGTTACAAATAACATTGATTATTTTTTAACAAAACAAGAGAAATTGGTAATTTTAAACAATGCCAACAACATTTAAGGATATTTTCTATGATCTTCTTTTACTTTTATGAAAAACAACCAATACTAAACTATGAAAAGTACAAACATCTAATTACAGTCAATAATTTCCATTCAAATAAAGAAATTATTGCATTCTTGTTCAACAAAAACAAAAGTTAATGCATATGTATCATTCATTTATTCACATTTTATTAAAAACAATTAATATAAAGGAATTTATAATGACTGATGGCAATTGACGTTGCATTATTTCTGATATAAAAGAAGAAATATTTGTATTTTTAAGCAATGCGAACATTACATTAAGAATTTTTTCCCTTAAATTCAACATATTTTATGAAATACAACAAATCCTGAACCATAAAAAGTACAAAAAGCCATAGGCGTTCAATAATTTCCACTAAAACAGAGAAATTATTGAATTCTTATTTAAAAAAAAAACAAAAGTTTATGTATATTTATCCTTAAATTATTCATATCTTACATAAAAGTACTTATCTGAATGCATTACTTATGACTGATTGCAGTTGACGTTGTATTATATCTGATATAAAAGAAGAAATATTTGCATTTTTAAGCAACGCAGACACAAATTTAGTATCTTTTCCCTGCAATTCAGCATATTTTATGAAAAAAAACCCAATCCTGATGTACAAAAAGAACCAAAATAAAATGATGGTTCATAATTTCTATAAAAATATAGAAATTATTGCATTCTTATTTAACAAAAACAAAAGTTTACGCATATTTATCCTTCAATGATTCACATTTTATACAAAATTACTTATCTAAAGGCATGTATAATGACTGATTGCAATTGAAATTGCATTATTTCTGATATAAAAGAAGAAATATTTGCATATTTAATCAATACGGACAAAAATTTAGTATCTTTTCCCTGAAATTCAGCATATTTTATGAAAAACAACCAATCCTGATGTACAAAATGTACCGAAACAAATGACAGTCCATAATTTCTATCAATATAAAGAAATTATTGCATTCGTATTCAACACAAAACAAAAGTTTAAGTATTATTCTCCTTACTTTATCAAATTCTTACAAAAAAAATCTTATTAGAGGACTTTGAAATAACAAGTTACAAATAACATTGCATTATTTTTTATTCAAAGAAGAAAAATTGGTTATTTTAACCAATGCGAACAACATTTTAGTATATTTTCTCAGATATTATTTTTATTTTATAAAAAACAACCAATCCTAAACCATAAAAAGTATAAAAGCCATAGGCAGTCAATAATTTAAATTGAAATAGAGGAATTTTGGATTTTTATCAAACAAAAACAAAAGTTTATGTATATTTATCATTTTTATCAGTAAATTATTCATATCTTATACAAAAGTACTTATCTGAATGCATTAATTATGACTGATTGCAATTGACGTTGAATTATTTCTGATACAAAAGATGAGATATTTACATTTTCAAGCAACACGAAGAAAAATTTAGTATCTTTTCCCTGAAATTAAGAATATTTTATGAAAAACAACCAATCATGATGTACAAAAAGAACCAAAATCAAATGATGGTTCATAATTTCTATCAAAATTAAGAAATTATTGCTTTTTTATCTAACAAAAACAAAAGTTTATGCATATTTATCCTTCAATTATTCACATTTTATACAAAATTACTTATCTAAAGGCATGTATAATGACTGATTGCAATTGACGTTGCATTTGTTCTGATTTCAAAGATGAAATATTTGCATTTTTAAGCAATGCGAACAAAAAATTATTTATCTTTTCCTTGAAATTCAGCATATTTTATGTAAAACAACCAATCATGATGTACAAAAAGTACCTAAATCAAATGACGGTTCATAATTTCTGTCAAAATAAAGAAATTGTTGCATTCGTATTCAACACAAATCAAAAGTTTAAGTATAATTCTTCTTACATTATGAAAATTCTCACAAAAAAACTAAATCTTTTTGGTGGACTTTAAAATAACTAGTTACAAATAACATTGCATATTCGTGTATCAAAAGAAGAAAAGAAAAAAATGGTAATTTTAATCAATGCAAACAACAGTTAAGAATATTTTATCAGATATTATTTTGATTTGATAAAAAAACAACCAATCCTGAACCATAAAAAGTACAAAAAGCCATAGAAGGTCAATAATTTTCATTAAAATAGCGAAATTATTGAATTCTTATTTAACAAAAAACAATAGTTTATGTATATTTATCCTTAAATTATTCATATCTTATACAAAAGTACTTATTTGAATGCATTAACTATGACTGATTGCAATTGAAGTTGCAATATTTCTAATAAAAAAGAAGAAATATTTGCAAATGTAAGCAATGCGAACAAAAACTTAGTATCTTTTCCCTGAAATTCAGCATATTTTATGAAAAACAACCAATCCTGATGTACAAAATGTACCAAAATCAAATGACGGTTCATAATTTCTATCAAAATAAAGAAATTATTTGATTTGTATTCAACACAAAACAAAAGTTTAAGTATTTTTCTCCTTACATTATCAAAATTCTTACAAACAAAATCTTATTGGAGGACTTTGAAATAACAAGTTACAAATAACATTGCATTATATTTTATAAAAAGAAGAAAAATTGGTAATTTTTAACAATGCGAACAACATTTTAGTATATTTTCTCAGATATTATTTTGATTTTATAAAAAACAGCCAATTTGAATCCTGAACCATAAAAAGTAAAAAATACATAGGCTTTCCAATAATTTCAATTAGAAAAGAGAAAGTATTGAATTCTTATTTAACAAAAACAAAAGTTTATGTATATTTATTCTTTAATTATTCATATCTTATACAAAAGTACTTATCTGAATGCATTAACTATGACTAATTGCATTTGAAGTTGCAATATTTATAATATAAATGAAGAAATATTTGCAAATTTAAGCAATGCGAACAAAAATTTAGTATCTTTTCCCTGAAATTCAGCATATTTTATGAAAAAAATATGCCAATCAACGATGTACAAAATGTACGGAAATCAAATGACGGTTCATAATTTCTATTAAAATAAAGAAATTATTTAATTTTATTCAACACAAAACAAAAGTTTAAGTATTATTCTCCTTACATTATCAAAATTCTTAAAAAAAATCGTATTGGAGGACTTTGAAATAACAAGTTACAAATAACATTGCATTATTTTTTATCAAAAGAAGAAAAAATTGGTAATTTTAAACAATGCGAACAATATTTTAGTATATTTTCTCAGATATTATTCTGATTTTATAAAAAACAACTAATCCTGAACCATATAAAGTACAAAAAACCATAGGCTTTCCAATAATTTCCATTAAAAAAGAGAAATTATTGAATTCTTATTTAATAAAAACAATAGTGTATGTATATTTATCCTTAAATTATTCATATCTTATACAAAATTAATTATTTGAATGCATTAATTATGACTGATTGCAATTGATGTGCATTTTTTCTGATATAAAAGAAGAAATATTTGCATTTTTAAGCAACTCGAACAAAAATTTAATATCTTTTTCCTGAAATTCAACATATTTTATGAAAAACGACCAATCCTGATGTACAAAAAAGAACAAAATAATGAAATGATTGCATCTTTAATCAACACAAATTAAAGTTTTAGTATTTTAATACTTATTTTTTTTTAAATTCTATCAAAGAAACTTTTCTTGAGGCCTTTTAAATAACTAATCAGAAATAACATTGCATTATAAGAAAAAGAAATATTGGTAATCTAGAACAAAAATTAAAACAACACTCTAAATTAATTAATCCAAACAAAGTTGTATGTATCTTTACTGTTATACTATTTTTATTTTCATCATCTAACGACAACAAATAGAGAACTAATTTTAAATGATAACATTTTATCGCTTTTTAGTGGTACATAATTAACGAGTAAAGGTGTCTTCGTAGAGGTCCGCGTTTATCGACTGTAAATACTGTGGAGTTCGTTTTACATAAGAATTTTAATTACATACGTATCCGTCCGATCCGTGCATACAATTAATTTACTGATCGATCGCTGACCGTTCTCACGGTAACTCTCACATAGCCTATTTGACGTATCTGACGGATTATATGGGTCATCGATCACCGATCAGTCATCGATCAGTCAAACATCCGTCACCGCCCAGCAGGCACACAACGTTGAACCAACATTGAAAATATGTTGAAATTTGGTTGTAGCGTTGATCAACGAAAAAACCAACGTTGTATCAACGTCAATCCTATCAATGTTTAAATCACGTTGTTGAATCAACGTTGATGTATGATTAAAAATATCAACGTTGAACTGTCAACGTTGAAAAAACATTGAGTTTAAGTTGATGCTTTCAATGCTTTAATTGGTTGAAAATAAAACGTTGATAAAAGGTTTATTTAAGGTTGATGACTTTAAGTGTCGACTGAAATTTGTATTTAAGATGAGATTGAACCAATTTTGTATAGTCCTTTTTGATTTAAGTTTCACTTTTTATTTATATTGGTGTATACTGATGTTTTTGAATAAATTCAATGATTACTGTTGCATATATAAATTAATCTTCAAATTGCGATACAATATTTCAATAACGCGAAACAGATTTCTTTTTCCGATTGGCGCATGCATATGAGGCCGACATTTCGAATTCATAAATATAAATTTGCGCCAATTTGATTACCACAACAAGTTAACAGTTGCTCTAAGCAGTGCAAAGTAAGTATAATTTTCATTTATTGTTTGTTTTAATGATAGTTGTAATTTAATGTAAACATTAATGTAGCCGTAATTATTCGCTGTCCCAGCAAGTATGAGTATACAATAGTGAGTTAAGCAGATCTATCGGATATAATTTATAATTATACATGTACGTAGTTGTCATTATCCAGCAGGCAAGATACACATTTTTGAAGCATCGGGGACCACCTTGACCTTAAGATATATTTGTACATTTAATTGGGTGAGGCAACTTATAATGTAAAAACTTGAAAAAGGGGGATGGGGTTTATGAACAATTATTTGGTAAAAAGCTAAAGCGTATGGCAAAGTATTCTATCATTGCAGATACAGAAAGGTAGATTGTTTTAAATACCATGGAACATCGTAGAAATTGAAGAATTTATTCATCTGGCAAATAATTAAAACCAATTATTGAAATTCACCTATTTGATCTCAAACTCGCTCTTTTATATGTTGATGTAATTAAAAGTCAAAAGATTTACAACACATGGCATTCTTGACCTTGAAACACATTTAAAACAAACAAATTATTTTCTCTTGATCAGAATAGATGTCACTCACAGCATGTATTCCGAGGATTTATTAATCTTTGTATAAGTGAAGCAATACGGCAGATAAGAAACAGGTGTGACCATAACAAATTAATACACAATCTTACTAATTTCAAAGTTGGTAAAATGCAGGTATATATGTCTCTGGTATATGATAACGTCAAAATAAATGCTTTATCAATTGACAGTATTGAATGATTACAGCATAAACAATTCAAGGAAATAGTAAATATTCGATCCTTTAGTTTTAATATCTAAACATAACCTATGTGTATGAATACGTTAATTTTATAACATGTATCACGAAAGACTGGAATGTATTGCAGTTTGAAGAAGAATGTAAACAAAGTTTCAAAGTTGAACTACTTCTTGCGTTAAGCAACCATGCCGAAAGTATCTATTGATGAAGAATTTAGGTATACAATGACATGTATCAATATAATTAATTATACGTGAATAATATTTATTAAAGCTTTATCTGCGAAAACACTAAAAAGTGTATGGATCCTATCATGCAATATAGGATGCGTTGTTTTATGGATGTTTTATAAGAACATTTGGAGTTGCTGAAAGAAATCAGTGCTTGTTGTGCATTATTGTATCTCAAGAGGAGTAAGTGTCAAGATCTCGGTGCTTGCGGTGCATTATTGTATCTTAAGATGAGTGACAGTCAAGATCTCGGTGTATGCGGTGCATTGTTGTATCTCAAGATGAGTGACTGTCAAGATCTCGGTGCTTGTGGTGCATTATTGTTTCTCAAGATGAGTGACTGTCAAGATCTCGGTGCTTGTGGTAAATTATTGATTCTCAAGATGAGTGACTGTCAAGATCTCGGTGCTTGTGGTGCATTATTGTTTCTCAAGATGAGTGACTGTCAAGATCTCGGTGCTTGTGGTAAATTATTGATTCTCAAGATGAGTGACTGTCAAGATCTCGGTGCTTGTGGTAAATTATTGATTCTCAAGATGAGTGACTGTCAAGATCTCGGTGCTTGTGGTGCATTATTGTTTCTCAAGATGAGTGACTGTCAAGATCTCGGTGCTTGTGGGGCATTTTTGTATCTCAAGATAAGTGACTGTCAAGATCTCGGTGCTTGTGGGGCATTTTTGTATCTCAAGATGAGTGACTGTCAAGATCTCGGTGCTTGTGGTGCATTATTGTTTCTCAAGATGAGTGACTGTAAAGATCTCGGTGCTTGTGGGGCATTTTTGTATCTCAAGATGAGTGACTGTCAAGATCTCGGTGCTTGTGCTGCATTATTGTATCTCAAGATTGGTGACTGTCAAGATTTTGGTGCTTGTGGTGCATTATTGTTTCTCAAGATGAGTGACTGTCAAGATATCGGTGCTTGTGGGGCATTTTTGTATCTCAAGAAGAGTGACTGTTAAGATCTCGGTACTTGTGGGGCATATTTGTATCTCAAGATGAGTGACTGTTAAGATATCGGTGCTTGTGGTACATTATTGTATCTCAAGATGAGTAACTGTCAAGATCTCGGTGCTTCTGATGCTGTATTGTATCTCATGATGAGTGACTGTCAAGATAAAAAAGATTGAAAACCCATTAGCTTATTGTGAGACCTTTAAACTATGATTTAGGATTAAAATTAATTATAAAGCCCTTGATTCCCGGAGGCCGAGTTAGGGACGTTGCCGGTCTCATTAGAGAGAACAAAATGGTTGATTATATAAGGAATCACTGAAGGGCGACTGGAGCAGCCCCCCTTATGCAGTCAGTGGACCCCCTTATGAAAATTGCTGGATCCGCCACTGATTCCAGAATCTTGTTGGATTCTGCAGGATAAATTTCCTGTAATGCTACAATACAAATAGTTGGACTTAAAGGGTTTTCAACCAGTTCATGAAAAAAAGTAAAATCACAAAAATACTGAACTCCGAGGAAAATTCAAAACAGAAAGTCCCCAATGAAAGGTTTTGGAAGTCCAAATTTTGTACGCGTTTTTATTTTAAAGTTAAAGGGGAGTTAACAATTTGGAAATGCTGCACTTAAAAGTGTTTTTTTTTTTTTTGTAGATGATGTCTTACCAATAAACCCATGTCTGAAAAATACATATCGGGTAAAAAGAATAAACATGCCTTTGGTGGTTCAAGCTTGTTTGAAATAATAAGAGGGTGAGTATTGAAATATATACCAATGTTTTTCCACATTAAAAATGTGTGAGATTTTGTCACAATTTCTTTAAAATGTGCTCTAGCATCTTTGTCTACTAAAATCTAGTATAGGTTTGTTTTTTATTAAAAATATTTATTTTTTACTATCTGAACTCAAGTTTTAAAAAAAAACCACATGGTCGCTCTCGATAAATTTTTAAATAATTTTTAAAATAACAATAGCATTGCACAGAGATTATTTGTTCACATATGACAGTAGTGTTCTTTATTTGAGCTGCATAATGATATTAATCAAGTTAATATGATAAAGATAGTACAATATGTTTTTTTTTCTGTTGCAGATGCTGTAGTTACGAATGTGCAACGGAGACCACAATATGGAACTACTGTGCAAGATGCCTAAAATATGCCCCTGAAATATCTGGGAATGTGTCTAGCAGAAGGACTAATTTTTTTAAATAAAATTAAGTATTCAGTTTTTGTTTGTTTGAAATTGTAAGATGCATATGTGAGCAACTTGTTGTATAACTACTAGTTTGTGTCACAAACATATTTTGTGTATGACACAACAATAAAGTTTCAGATTATCTATGCCTGGTAAGGTTAAAAGTTGTGCCTGTTCTTCTTGTCAAGTCTTGTATTATAAATATCAGACTCAGAAGTGAGTGGTCTCCTTACCAGTATTACCGAAACAAAGGGAATGACTTATTTTCCACTTACAGCTAATTTCCTAATGTTTGTAGAGTAAAACTTTGGTTAGCTTGCTTGCTATGTTTGTATAAACGTTAGCTCGAACATTGTAATAAAGATAAACATCTGCTTACAATATAGACAGGCATAGTTATTCTGTATAAATTATATTTAAGTTTGATTGGACGTAATCCCAATAACAGTTGTACAATATACAAACAAAGCAAGCAAGCTAACCAAAGTCTTACTCTACATGCATTAGGAAATTAGCTGTAATCATAAAATGTAGAGAAATATAAAAAGGGAAATATTCGAACAAGCAGAAATCTCATTGAAAATACATTGATAACGGTTCAACCATCATTCGACCTGATTTCAACATACACTGACCACAGTAAAAACAACATTCGACCTGATTTAAACATACACTGACCATATAGTTCAACCAACATTCTACCTGATTTCAACATACACTTACCATAACTCAACCAACATTCGACCTGATTTCAACATACACTGACCACCATACAACATGTACAACCAACATTCGACCTGATTTCACCTTTCATTGACCACAGAACAACCAACATTCAACCTGATTTCAACTTTCTTTGACCACAGTTCAACCAGCAATCGACTTGTTTTCAACATACACCGACCAAATTTAGACCAAAATTCAACCTATTTTCAACGTTGGGAGCTGACGTTGAATCAACGTTATGTTTTCAACGTCATATCAATTTTCAATCCAACACTACTTTTCAACATTGATTCAACGTTGAAATCTGACGTTTATTCAATGTTGAATCAACGTTGTTGTGCCTGCTTGGCGATCATTCACCGATCAGTCAAGTTCACGTCAAACAGTAACGCCTAAGGTTGCAAGTACTGTATCAATAAAAAATCATTCATACACAATTAAGATAGATAGTGTCTTAACTAGAGGTCATATTTTGTATGTTAACAGAGGAGGTTAAAAAAAAGGTCAAATGTCAATCTAACTACGGAAATAATGGAATAAAGATAACGATCCACGCGTGAACACAATCAACCGTAGAAAAAAATATTTTGTGAAGTAGCTCGACGTTCGAAATTACGATAAAAACTGTGCCATTTGTTTTTTATTGGTTGTTTTGATCTTGTTTGTTATGCTTTATATTTCATGTATTTGTTTGAATTTGTCTTTAAACTTTAAACAAGAACATGGTTGCTGAACCACTTAATTCCCGATTTTTGTTCCGTTTCGTGTTCGTTCTATTCTACCCCAGGTATGAACGAAATTGACCAAATAAAATAGTGTTGTTAGCTTATTGAGTTTGCATTTTTTTAACGTCTCAGCATTTGTGAACGATAGAATTATTATCAGAAAATGAGAGGTTATTCAATTCATTTCATAGACAGATTTTGTATGTTAAAAATACTTCATCACGCGATTGTGTTTGTCATCAACAAAACTGTCGACACTCACAACGTTAATTTAAACGTTGTACATGCACATGATGCTCTTAAATAGTTGTCTCGGGCCTAATAGACCGTTTTTTATCAATAACGCCTGTGCAACTGTGTTGTTATAATGAGTTTATTTACAACCACTGGGTCAATGCCACTGCTGAAGCTATCACCAGTTCAGTAGTCAGCATGTAAGTGTTGACATACAGTATCATTAATATGATCATATGATTATACATTTACTGTTTACAACAACGTTTTGCTCTATTACTATGGATTGTCCACCCTAGGAATAGATCACCTTTGCTTTATTTGACAAAACCTTTCGGAATTTTGGGTGCTCATTCTTTCAAAATTCGTACTTTATTTTGTCGTTTAATTTTTTTGTCATCGAGGGTCACTGATGAGTGTTTTGTAGACGAAATACGCATTTGCCGTACAACGTTTGAATCCTGGTATCTAAAAACAGTTTGCTACGTTATCAAGATGAATATATTTTGTACCAGTTCACAAAATGTGGTTGCTATCTCAATACAGATATCGGATCATTGAAATTGTTTTATGTACCTTTTAGCTACTGAAGCTAACTTCGAATCCAGTCCTGTAAAAGTTAACTTCGTTCTAGAGAGCTTCGATTACATCCGACCTGTTTTAACGTTAACTCTTGGCTGGTCTGTTCCACATTAAGATGATTTATAACAAATAGTAAAAGTTTTTGTTCCACAATATACACATAACAGCTTATATATAGTACATGGATTATAAAACAAATATTTTCCCTTTAAAGATCGAAAATTCTTTTGATAACCAGGTAACCCCTTTAAAAAAAAAGTTAACGTGTGTCGTATATTAAAATAAGTATCAATTATATTTGATTAATCGGGTTATATTGTATGCGATAGATAATAGAAACAAACACTGATAAATAACAGCAATATTAGTGTTCAGATGCTAACATTTTTGGTCGGTTTCGATTCAAAGTGCTCTCCTGTTTATTCAAAATACTGTCGCTAAATATTAGAAGTCTTTATACTTGTATCGCACGATGGATTGTACAACAAAATTGATTGCCCACATCAATCAACGCTAGCCATATTTGCCCTTTTTTATGATAACTATATGCCAGTAGCATACATCAGATATCAAGAAGGGTTGTATGATTTTTAAATGACAGTAATATTTAGACTTCAACATTGTATGGGCTTTAATTAAGAGTGTCAACATGTCCAATGTTTATTCAAAACACATAACTTATTTCATTCAGGATATCAGTAACATTTTGTATGTGTCGTCCAACACATTTTGTCTCCAGTTTACCAGATGGAAGTTATTCTTAAATGGCATCTTATCTGTAACAAGTGCTATACTTGTTTTGTCATCATGTGTCACCATGTTGCTAATAGTTCTCCATATATCACTATGGATTTTGAGTAGGTCTTCATTCATTCTATCAGTCAATTTAAGATGAGCCAATTTGTCATCAAAGAAAATAACTCTTGTAAATAAAACAACTGTTACAGAGTTGTAATAAAGAAGAAATAATATGTATGAGCGTATATCTATTATTCGAATATCAATTGTTCAAACCTAAACATTTACTGCGTTCTAAGTTATCTTGTCTGTTAGTATTTTGTGTCTTTTTTTTACTTTTTTGTATATACAATCGTGTATTTCCAAACAAAATATATATAAAAGAGACAGTGTTTGATGATAATATGATTATTTAAAAAAAAAAATGTTTTATTGTCCATAATCAATACGTTTTATGTCTGCATGAAAGGTAAGTTTATTGTTTTCTATTTGGTATTTAATTGATAATTGAGTCTTTCTGAAACATGTGAATTGCGTATAAATATTTCTACTTGCATGTTGTTCTATTAAATGTCATAATCACAATTAATTCCAAAATGAGCACATGTTATGTATACTTTGCCTTAAGAATATTTCATGTCTTAGATAATTACCATTGGTACTTTTAACAATGTTTAAACAATGTACAATGTAAATTTACTGGTAATGCTTAACTAATACTACAGAAATGACCATGACATTGTATATCATATCTGTTTCTCTTTTTATTTTAGGTCAAACTGAATTGTGAAAACGGTGCAAAAAGTGGTTTATAAATCTATAAATTAAACGTTGTCAAAGGTTTTTTTTTTTCAAAAGTTGAGATTGACTTAATCGATATGAAGAAAAAGATAAATTTGGGAACAAAACCTGAAATATCTATTGGTGGGCAGGACTTTCTCCGAGGAATTACCAGCTTGTTAGCACTTGCATGACACATATTAGAAAAGAAACCGAGAAATGGACGACACGTCGTCCAGGATAAAATTGTGTCTGTTGAATGTTGCCACGGACACACCATAAAAAATACAGGTGGCCCAAGGATCAATTTAAAAAAAATCATTTTTATTCTCCGAGTTCCTCTTTTTACTGCAAAATTTCAGACAAGTTTATGTATAGTCGTCCATGTACTATACAACTTTCAGATAATTCAGATAGCGAATACAAGGGTTGTCTTTTCAGTTAAATTATATATAAAAACTAACTTATTTTTTATGAGATAGTATCGTAGCTTATAAAAAAAAATAATACAACTGTTGACTTGCTATAGTATCCTGTTAATGTTATGTTTCTTTATTCACAAACAAAAGTGTTGATAATTTTGAAATCTATTTGCACACTATAAATTGTTTTTCTTTCATAGCGATTCTTGTTTGCAATAGCAATTATTTGTCTCAGTCATTATTAAACAAATCATGAATGCATTCAGTAATATCGAATTGCACTCCCTCAATTTGATCTCAAACTGCAGAAATTTTTAAACGATTTACGTAAATTGTTGCAGCAAGTCAATGATATGTGAACATATCGTGAAATATAAATGAATATCAATGGTCAATTAAGCTTTTTAAAGTCTTTGATCCAAACCATTAATTTGTCAGCAAATCATAAATATAGCTTGGATAGATAGAATGATTGACCTATCGAGTTGGTTCAATAAGCAAGACCAATTCTAAATAATGTACTTAAATGTCAAATAATTCATATTATCAGGGAAGCATGAAACTGCATCAGAACGTACAACTGTATTATATATATCACAGTTTGTCGTTTGGATTTTGCATGATTAAATACAAAGTATTGTGGAATACGTATATGATTTGATATTAGTATTAACACTAATACAAGTATTGTATAAAGGATCAACTAGATTTCTACTTAAATAAAGGCAACAGTAGTATACCGATGTTCGAAATTCATAAATCGTTTGAGAAAAAAAAAAAATCCGGGTTACAA